CCCCCCCCCCCCCTCTTATCCCTTGCCCTCCCCCGTTGATTCTTCCGCAGATATCTTCACCTGGAACGGGCGGGGCGTGTGCGCGAGTCAGTTTCACAACCAACGACGACCAGCAGCATCTCAACGAGTCACCAGCGTCTGTTGTGAGTGCCAGCGATGCTACTTCTGAAGCAGCTGCTGGTGCGATGGGTACTGCTGGTGCAGCCACTACTCAAAGGCCACCTTCCGCGTGGGCGGAGAAAAAACAAGGCCATCCTTCCGTGACATCGGGCGCCATCGACTCGAGGGGTTCATCGGTCGGGAAAGCCCGCCAGCTCAGCCCTCCGCACGATGGTAAAGAAAAAACAAATGTATGGACAATTAAAAAACGTCTGTTGGCCCGCACCGATGACGGGAAAAAATTCCAGCTTAGCCCTCCGCACGGTGGTAAGGAAAAAACCAATGTATCGAAAAGACGTCTGTTGGCCCTCACCGATACGTGCCATATAACAAGGAGGCGTTTCCAATAGTCGGACACGTGTCGCCCCGGCTTCCAAGTGATTGGTTCATAACGACACAAGCGCAGTCCAGTGTGCAGTGGGCGATAACCCCTGTCTGTCTCTCTGTTTATCGTTTCGGTAGTTGCAGGAACGGCCTCGACTGTAGCGTAGGTGCCCCATCTTCAACGCACTACCCCCCACGAGAAGCATTGGCTGAATATCTCCCCTCCACCACGGCCATGACTCTGTCGCTGATTGATGAATGCATCACTACGTACTAAAGACTGCAACGAGCGCCAGGTCAACAACCCCTTCTCCTCCAACGTCGCAGGCACCAAGAACGACATTCTCTCTCCAGCTCGCAGCCGGACAGCGGTGGGCCGGCTTCCTCCTTTGAGCACGTCGCCTTCGTCGTTGTCGCCGGGAACGGCGGCGTTAAAGCTAGGCGGACAGGAAGGAGCTTCCGCGAAAGTTTCACTCATATCCCGAAGAACTACATTGGGGCCGACGATCTCGTATTGCGACCGAAACGGGGATGAGAATGCTACGGTAGTATCCAAGGGATCGGGACTCTCTGCGGGATCAGCGGCAAGGTCCCAAGCGGGGTCTGCAACAAGAACAGAAACCGCAAAGCCTAGAAGCCTCTTGAAGCAAAGGACGGAGTCGTCCATACATCAACCCGGCGGGAGGGGACGAGGAGCCCCGCTGTTGGTTACTCGGCACAAAGATCGCTGGCAGGAGATGATAAAGGTGTCCTCCGAGATCACCGACAGAAAGCTCAGCGAACGGAAATCGCCACCGACGACAAGGTTTTCCGCGAATGAGAGCGACCGGGAGGAGGCAACCGAAAGGAGACCTCGATACGACAAGATCAAGATGAGAAGTCCTGTCGCGAACACTGGCAAGGGAAACGGCTCGGAAGGCCAAGCGGCTACGGTGAAGTCCCCGGCATTAGCCTTCAAGCTCAAGATGATGGCCGGGGGAAGGTTTGGTGCTGTTTCCGTTGCTCAGAAAGTCGTGGCTGGGTTTCGGGGGGATCCAGACTGGGCATCTGGGGCATCGAGGATCGCAAAGAGAAGGTGCGGAAAGTTGTTCAGGCTAATCGAAGATGTGGGTATCACATTTGCGGGCCCACACAGCGAGAAACCCCCCTACGTGTTTTTTCCGACATCTATATATGATGCCCCGCTCTGCAATCACTAATAAACACTTGAAAAATACGTAATCGAATTTTGTAGATCAGCCTCAAAGCGCACCGGTTCCGACGACGACACCAGCGGGCCAAGGACAAGCTCGAAAGGGAAGCTTAACTCGAAGAAGGGGGCGGCGGCCTCCCTAGTCAGTGAAAAATCAAGGAGGGATCAGGCTTCTAGAAGATCGGTCGCAAGGCAAGTGGGCTGCTGACAGCCGAGTTTTCACTGCGTGTTTGTCTGGAGCCATGCGTTATCTTGAGATATTTTAGACGGTTGCCTCTTCAACTAGACTTCTTCGGAGCAGAGATGGCGATGTGGTGAGCGGGGTGGCAGTTCATTAATGCGTTTTTGCTACAGTCTCTCGTGGGACACGATAAGTCACGAAGGTAAGAGGCATTTCAGAAGGTTTCTCCCGAGGCAAGTGGACAGCGTACAGTTAGTCAGAGTGTTGGAAGCTGTACGTACTACTGAGTCTTCATGTATGTTTATTCGTTTTCAGTGTTCGCGCGGTTAAGTAACAACGGGAGGCATCCCTATGCCTCTTTGCAGGCCATTACTGAAGCAATACTTTCTAGGAAAGGGACACACAACACACATGACATACACAGGGAGGAAATGTATCTGTCCCACCTCGACTCGTTTGCTCTGGCGAAAAGGCGATTAACGCTTGGTGCAATGCCTGCCTGGACCGCACGACCCCGACGTGCATCATGGCTTTGCGAGTGTATTTGATGCTGACAACCCAACGCCCATCCCCCCACCCCACCGCACAATACACTGTGCACCGCAACGGCAGGCGAATATCTGCATTCGTACAGGAGCATACCGTGAGAAGAGGAGATGACGAGATAGACACGAAATCGAAGTCAAGCACGCATAGTGCCGCCGCCTTGCCGCAGATGCTCACCGCGGAAAATCTCAAGGGGATCGCTTCCGTGGAGGTGCTGCACGGAGTTCGGAGTATCGGCTTGTTGCGGAGTGGTGGCTTAAACTAAAACGCTATCATCTTCATGTCGAACAAAAGAAAACGAAAGGCAACAACGCACCAGTAACGATGAAACCAACAACACCAGTACCGATAAAACCGGCAACAAGAACAGCAACAACAACAACAACAACAACAACAACAACAACAACAACAACAACAACAACAACAACAACAACAACAACAGCAATAGTAACTAGGAATATGTTCCGCTTTGAACATCACCAGATGGAGATGGAGGGGATGGAATCGAAGGGGGACCCAGTCAAAGCAGAAGGCGAGGCCGTGAAGATCATAGAGTGGATGCGACGGTCCTGCCCGGACATGGCGCCGATTGCCCCGCTGCTCAAGGAGCTCATGTTCACCGGATTTTCAGAAACTAGGTACAGTATCGTTATGTTTTTTAACCGCGTTTGAGGGTAAGTAAAGTTTGCCTCGCCTGTCCTGGGTTGTTGTTATGGTCGCCGGCGGGTCGTTGGAGAACATTGTCGAATAACGCACGGTGTGCGGTCGAAGATCCGTTGTTGCTGCTTCACGACACCCGAGCTCCCTGCACACACGCGCGTCAACGCGACTCTGGGAGGAAATCATTGTTGTTACGCTGGAAGAAGATGCGCCGATATGATGCTCCGGTTCTTGCTTTGTGCTGCCGTCACACGCAGGACGACGGCCGCGTTTCCTCCAGACGTTCGTCACCGCAATCTCGAGCGGCTGGTTGTGGAGGTGGTTCGTACGGTCATCGACAAAGAGGGAAAGCGGTTGCTGCTCATCATCGAGGACGCACAGTGGATGAACCAACTCAGCATGAAGCTCCTCCTGAAGGCAATCGGCAGAACGCGGCAGTTGTAGTGAATCGCGGTGTCATCGACGCCTGTCGACGTCTCACGTAAACTGCTCTTCGAGGAATGAACGGAGTCAGCGCTTGTCGATGCCTCTCTACATAGTACTTTATCGTAGGAATTGCTCCTCGACGAAGATGCGTGTGAAACGGAGGGGCCTGCTCAGAACAAACTTGCGCTGGCAGAGCACACGTTTGACTTGACGTAGAATCCATCCCTGGGGCCTGGGTTGGTCAGCTCGGCAGGGACGTACTCCTCGAAAGGCGTATCGAAGGAATTGCACACCTAAGGTCATTCAGTCTTTGCCGATGAAATATCACAGGGTGTAACGCAAAACACTGAAGCTTCTCACGAAGGAAAACGTAAGAAAGTTTGCGAAGTGCAGCGTGGATGATGCGGTTGCTTTGTCATAGGTGTGTATGCATACGAAGAACAACTTGTATTGGAGAGCCTTTCATCTACCAACAAAGCAACGTCCTTGACTACTCCCGCCGGCTGCGGCACATCGTAAAAACAATACAGGTGGCGAGAGCGGGACTGAGGCTAATGATCATCATCTCTGCCCGACCCTTCGAGGAGTACTTCGAGACGGTTCCACACGTAAGGAAAAACCCAAACATGTATGCTGCAAGTCGGGAGGAAACCACCAGGATCCCAGACTCAGGAATGTGAAGAACTCAAACGTAGAACGGACCAACGGATCTCCACATATCACGCTAGAGTGAAGCCAAAACAGCAATAAACAAACAGGTGGACTACATCTGACGTATGAGAGTTGAGGTAGCGTGTTGCTCCGTACCTCCCGACGGATGCGATCTACATCGACCTCAAAAACAAGCATCTGTACGAGGCACCACACAGCACACCAACCCGAACCTACCTGGCGCGACCGACCCGGATCTGCAAGACGATATCAAACAACTAGGAGAGCAGCACCATTTCCTGTAGTAACGATGTCCCTGTCTGGATTCTGACAACAGACGAAGACGAAAGCCACCTCTCAGACAAGCTTTTTTCAGCCCACAACACGACCGATCTCCAGCCCGATCATGCCACCTTTCAACCCAGCTAACTTTCCGAGCCATAAACTCAACTACGCCCTCGCTTCTTCCCAACAAATCTCTCCAGGATTTCACCACGTTTCGGGAGATCGGCACGACGATAGAGATGTCCCCGCTGTCCCCCTCGGATTGCCTCGTGCTGGCGCGCCACGTCATCGGGGAGGCCGTGATCGATGCCCACCCGGAGGCCGACCTGTTGCCCGAGGGGTCGGACATGGTCCTTCACGAGAAAAGCGGGGGAGGGAACCCCCTGTTCGTGCGCAACATAGCAATAGTGAGCCCAGACATGTATATCTGATGAATGAATCGTCTTGTTGTTGCTTTCAGGCTGCTCCTGGCATCCGTTTGTGATTGGTGTGGGAGAGAGGCTAAAGGGCCCTTCGTTGAGCAATAGGGGCCACCGTGAAAGTCACGCCTCCCGTTTGAACGTTGCACGGAGTGATTGTGGCCAAAGTAAATGGCTGATCGGTAAAAGGTGTTTTCCCTGCCTCAATACCCTACTTTCATATCTTCTGTACACTCGATTCCGTCCCATTCAGAACCACCAGGTTTCGTCGACATTAGCACAACTTGCTGGGGTGCCCCTAATATAGCGTATGTTGCATAGCATACTTGTCTACCCCCTTTGGGTCGATTGTTACAACAAGAAAGGGTGGTGTTCATAAGGTTTTGTCGAGGGCTTACGTTTGCATTCGCTCGTTGAGCATCTTCTGCGACAAGGCGCTAGGGCTCACACTATTTATTAAGAAAACTTTATACCCCGGCTGATAGGCAGCAAGCACCAAAACAAGAACAACAACCAAAAAACGTCCGGTAGTTTACATCCGAACAAACTCTCGGGTGCGGCAGGGAGGGTGTCAACGGCGTCGCTGACCTCTCCGCAACGCTTCCCCACTGACTGTTCATGTCGTGCGTTCGTGTCGTCACAAAGACGTTGCGGGACAATTTGGTGACGAGTGGTGCGGTCACCCCGCTGGTGGACCTCCCCGTAGGCTTTTTTCATGCGCTAATTGTGAGCCGCTTCGATGCGCTCGAGCCGCCGGAGCAGACTGTTCTAAAGGCCGGCACAGGTGCGTCGTCGGACCACTGTCGGACGATTCCCTTCCTGTTTCGGTGAACTTCGTTCTTACATGTTCGGAATCCGATGCAAGGAAGTACTCGTGGTGGTCAGCCTTTCCAAGGGTACTACAATTCGCCGACATAGGAAAGACCCGCAGAAATTTCGTCGCCTTGATCCATCTTACATCGGACTAAAACGAGCGCTTCTGCTTGCCTGAAAAAACAGTAATCGGGGCAACGTTCAGCAAGGACCTGCTGCTGCACATGCTACCGAGCAACAGCCGGTACAGGACCGAGAACTTGCACAAAGCCCTCCTTAAGCTGATCGAGGCCAACTTCATCTCGAGGTCGGTGGTCGGACGGACGGAGCACTTCAGCTTCGTACACACCTCGGTACAAGAGGTACGGTGACCGCCGGCGGGCGAATACACAGAAAAGCGACATTTCAATACGTTGTACGTGGTGGAGGGTTGGCGGGAAATATTTGTGCTACACGAGAGATTGACTATGGTGCCGTAGTTACCACGCCACCGCAGGTGTTCCGTCACCAATAATCCAACACTAACATTGAGATCGGTGGTAAGGCGGCAGAATACTTTAGAGATTTGGTGCACGACTTTGATCTGGGAAGTGTGGTGATTCAAGGGTAAAGTGCCACTCAAGACAGGGCAAACAGTTGTACCGATTCGTGCTTTATACCTCTTCTTGTCTACCAAGGTACTTACTTCGACGTACAAGTCAAGAACAAAAGTTCAAAACCTAATCCATGTTGAATGCGTGACCTCCGCTCGAGAACAGCATGGGCGGAGGACCTGGCGGAGCTTTCGTCTTCTTCCTTCAACATACAGGGTTCGGTGTGACGATTTTCTCCTCCCTCCGTCAACCTGGAAGCACGAATCAGCTAAAAGAACACTTGCGACTGCATCATTGTCACACTGCTGTTTGCTCGTGATATTGATCGCTCGATGTCCAATTCCGTGTCCTTGCGGCAGACGGTGTACACCATGATGCTCACGGACCAGAAGGAGAGTCTGCACGAGGTGTGTGCGCAGTGGCACGAGAAGCACAACAAGGGGAACGCCAACTACCAGAGCGTCATCATGCACCACTGGATGAGATCCAGCAACACCCCCAAGAAGGTGGGGAGGCTTTTTCGTGATGGTGCTGTAACCCCGGTTTCGTCTGCGCCCCGAACAAGTTGTTGCCGTCGTCAAAATCACTCTCGTCAACTTATCTAGTAGAGCGAGTGTAGTGCTGCGACGAAGCCGAGAGGCAACAAACGTCCCAATTTAATGTTGCAGAAACGAAACGTCAGATCACTCATCCTTCGTCAACCGTAGAAGAGGAGGTGCAATGGCTACGCTCAGTTACGCCCATCTAAGCCGATAGACCGAAGAGGTAGGCCGGCACATGCCTTGTACACAAGCACAACTGGTAGGACTGGACACCGGGCTAAGTTGTGAACATTTTCAAATCTGCATCCAAAACTAAGTGGTTGATGAAAAAATTGTCTGAGACAATTTGTGTGGTATGGCATCCTTTAGCGGATAACCGGCGGACTAACTTATTCAACATTTTCTCATGCACGCCAATTGTGGTAAACTGCTTGTGCGGTTGTATCCCTGTCGTATGCTTCTCTGGGACCGATATGGATAATCGCTGTCCTGGAACGGGTTTGAGAAGAATGATCACGACTTGAGGCCAACCGCATGTTTCGCTCATGACTAACTTTCTTGATGTTCAGGTGGAGTGCCACTTAATGGCGGCGAATAAAGCGCATGAGGTCTCCGAGCATGAGGTGGTGAGTGGTTGTTGTTGCTGCGTGTGGTGATGATGGGGCTGAGACTGGGGGCGCGAAGCGGGCTGCCCCGAGAGGGAATCACTCACACCTTCTGTCATTCAACATTAATCCTTGCTTAAGTGCGGTTCACTGTCTCTATCGATCATCGACTTGAGACCTACCAATCTCTGGAAAACAACCAAATAGAACAAAAAGGGCTCCTGTCCCGTTTTTCACGTAAAACGTTCACCACAGACGGAAGACATGTGAGGTGGTGAATCTGAGAGAATTTAGGGCCTTCGTTCGCCAAATTTCCTATTTACGAATTCACTGCTTTGACCGAAGTTGTATGAACCCCGGTCTGAACCCCCCCCCCACCGTGCGCGCCCCCGTTATAGGTTATTCAACACATGCTGGCGCTGCTGGCCATTGCGTTTGGGAAGGACATGGCGACAGCCACAGTCATCTCCCTCGAGCCGTTTCTGGAGGCCACCCAACCGTCCCTCAACAAGCAAGACACAGCGGCCTCAAAACTACCGCCGCCACCTCCGCGACCAGCTGCCGCCGCTGGGTCCGTTCCCAAAAGTGACCCTGCCGGCAGCGATCGAGACACCGTCGAGCAGCGTCAAAAAACAGACGTGACGATTCACAGGAAAAGTAGCGGTCAAGATGACCAAGCAGGTTGGTACAATGACACCAACTGTCGCCGGAATGACGAAATACACTCACCTAACAAAAAGATGAAAACGAAACCATTTTTCAGCGTTGGTGCTTTCGTGTCATCTCTTCCGGGCAAACGACATTTTTGCTGCAGCCCATGGGAAACGTACGCACCACGCAGCGGCCTCTCTGCAGACCAACCGCGCAGGCCACACCGTGCATATCCTCAACAGGCGATCGCCAAGAATTCTTGAGATTGAAAACGTCCCAGGAATGAGAGATTATCCTCGGCTTGCGTTTCGGGCGCCGCTATAGTCGCCGGTCAAGAACCTAACGAGTGCTCATGAGCAGCAGAGAAGTAAGGCGCAACGCGAATCGTAGCAACATGAGTTAGTAGCACAACAATGCCAACCCTAACAACAACGAGCAGGCATGGCAGCAGCGAGGACAGGGGAAGCAACCGGCGAGGGGCACGCGTCGGGCCTCTGCGGGTGGCTCACTGATGGTTTGGGAGCAACCGGGCTAACGCGTCGACGTCGGCGCTTCTCCTCCATGGTAGTGCCGGTATGTGTCGGAGGTCGTAGACTTACGTCGACTCGCGGCTCGCGATAATTCGACGAGCTTGGTGAAAATCAAACGCCTGCGCGCGTCTCGGTCATTGATGATCTCTTTCGAACCCAGTACCTTCTTGAAGAGACAACCAATGGAGTCCTCGGTCTCCCTTTGCAAACGAAATCAGACCGCGACGAGACAACTATCTACCGGGAGTTCCCACGAGCAGTTGGTACGTGTATTACAGTGCGTTTTGAAGAGTGAACGGAGGGCGCGAAGGAGGGAGAATATCGTTCAAGAGGTCTCTACCATGGCTACCTCTTGGAAATATCGATCGAATGACCTCTTGGTGATGCCCTCGATGGGCGTCGAAATCGGGACGCCAGACCCATGGCACGCCATTTCTACAGTAAAGCACACGCGTTTGGTCAAGTGCACGGACTTTCCCCGCAATGGGTTTCGAGGCTGTTGAACCAATTCCAGCAAAGAATACTTGACTTGTTCCTGCTACGCTATCAGATATCCTTGGCACAGCAAGCTGGTTCCGAGAGCGCCGCGATTGTCTCACAAACAGGTTGCGGCTCCTCTGACGGGAAAGGAGGCAGAGGCTGCCGAGCGACTACACGCGGCTAGGACTGCGGCTAGGCTGGGGTGTTCGGTGGGCAACCTCACCAAGCGCCAGCGAGAAATGCTAGTAGCTAAGGTACGATCCTGGTGCTACATGTGTGCGAAGAAGCAAGAGTCTGCGTTGCAAGATCTGTGCCATTTCGTGGCCATCGTGCGTACGAGTCAGCTTTCGACCACGCCAAAGAAACCCAAAAGGGCCTTGTAGGAGAGTGAAGCAAGGGTAGTGGCGACAGCCCGTAAAACGACACCCTACCCGCTGCTTTTACGAGGCGACGTAAAAGTTTTAGCTTTCACCCATCCTTGTCCAGTCTTGTTAGTGGCACCTCTATCTGCGGCGTCAGCACGGCGTTGCTTCGACCACAACTTAAATCGGAACCCTTTCCCTATCCCAAATTGTACCCGCTATTGCGTCAGGATCAAGAGTGGTTGTGGGCGGCCGATTTCTTGCCGTGGCTAGAGTTTTCGGACCCACTTTTCTCTCCGACCTTGGTGGCGAGATGGATCGGTGCGATAGGAATGGCCCACCTGCACCTTGGACGGCTGCTGCCCGCCCACAACCACATGCAGGTCTGCTGCTTCTGCTGCAGTATGTTGTCACTTTCTTGCAGTCCACTGCGACGCAAACGCGTCACACAAGCGCTTCGTCCACGATGACGTTGAAATTTAGCCACAGCACACAAGATTGTCCCCGATTCCCCTACATCAACTCGCTGCTCCCCACGCAAAGCACCAGCGAAACTCGCACTCGTCAATCACGTGCGCATTTGTTCTTGGTACATGTCGGTGCTTTAGGAGGCGCTGGTCTATCTTGGCTTCCCGGCCGTGCCATCCCAAGCACTTCCTTTCGACAGGGCCGCCTGCCTCGCCAAGGAGTTCTTCTTGATGCAGGGACCTGCTAGAGACAGCGACGACACGCTTTTCGCGGCCAAGCTGTACGGCGCCATCGCCGACATTAGCATCAAGGTAAGTAAAGTACACCCTGACTGGGTGGGGGAATGGTATCGGCAGGTGGTTGGATGGTTAGGTGAGGCTAGACAGGGTTGATAGGGTACAGTATACGATGGCGAGCAGGATGGCGTATCGGGTCAACAGCTCAATCACTCAACGGGAATTGACCTCGGGCTTCAGCCTTCAGCAAGGTGTGACCAAGAAATGATCCACGCCTACGTCAGACCGGTTGACACCGTGCCCAGCTGTAGAGCAACCGGCACCAAGGAAAGTAGCTCCTCAGCAGTACTGTCCTATCGGGAAGACGGTTAAAGGTGGGATCATTGCTCCTGCCTTTTTCTTCGTACAAGCACGTGGTATGAATCGCAGGGACCCGAACTCCGGTCGAGTAAACATGAGGTATCCTAACCCTGCCCTCATCACCACAGGACAGGTTCGTAAGCCCTGATTCCAACGCTGAATATTCTCCTAACGATCACCTAACCTGGCTTTCGTGAATAATTCACTGGGCAGCAGAGCAGCCGCGACGGTGCCTCCTTATATCGCCTGGTGACTCATTTTGGGCAAATACGTTGTCCAGGCTGAAATTTCAGCAACGAATAATGGTTTGTTGTGGAATGTCGAGGAAATTTTCCAAAGTTGTCCCGCCTTCACCACAGAGTAGGATCAATCGGAATACATTCACACAAAATGCACTTGATACCAAAGCCCCAGATCCGAGCCAGGGTGCATGTGGATATCTTTGTGCTGCCCGACCTAGATGGTTCGAGGGTTTTCGAGATACCTTGTAGGAAGCATTGAGACATCGACAGTAAGAATATCTCGAAAAGGGACATTAGAGTGTTCTCCTCGAAGCAATGGGTGTGCCAATCACGACTGCCTTCGGTGTGCTAGGCCCAAGTCTAAAAGACCTTCGCATTCGTGGAAGATGTAAAGGTAGCCCTATCCCTGATTGCTGGCACGTTCGTGTCGTTTTTGCCTGGTAGACGGGAATGGGCGGCAACCTCTCCTTCATCAACCGCCTCGTCAAAGTAAGCACCCGCAAGGTGGACTTTGTGGACAAGACGCAAGAGGGCATACGGCTCCTTCTCAACCTCGCTCACGAGGTATGTCTGCATGTACGGTAGTTGGTGGTGTTTCGATTGGTACCTCATGGCCGCCTTTGTGGAACTTTCTGGTCGCTGAAGCGGAGAGGACATCAATGCTGAAAAGTGGTCACACTCTTACCGGACACAACCCCCCTCATCTCCAGTTGGGACCAGCCGAAGGCGGCTCGCCTCGGTTTCGTTATCAAATATTCTCCCGCAATGTCAGGTTTTTCTCGTCGTTCTGTTCATGGGTATGCGGTCATGCAAACCGCCCGGCAAAGGCCCATGCTGGCCCTTCGTTCCAACGGATAGTGACCCTCGCATTTGCTCACCTTGAGGCTGAAGCTGAAACCTGCCGAATGCTGCCTCAACGCTCGCCCTACTCCAATCCATTCTCAGGAGCTGGCAAAAGGACACCACGACAAGACCGAGTCCCTGCTGGATCGCGCCCTTGCTCTGTCCATCGACATTGGCGACCCCATCATGAGGGTGAGGAAACAAATTTGCAAGAGAAGAAGACCTTTTGTGGCGAGGGGGACGTTTCATCCGGGCGGTGGCCGCTGGAAGTCACTGTTGGCCATTGTGGGAGAGGTTTCGCGTCAAGCGGAGGGAACTAAGTTCTTGCACTTGTTGGTGGACCAACTCCACCGAAAATTAATGTATTTATCCTGGCGCTTTCGAGCCACGCACGAACAAAGCGCTCTTTGAGTCAGCCACCAAACTACCCCGACACCTATGCCTGTAGCATGAGCGTGTGCCGCCCTTCGCCTGACATGTGTTTCCTCCGGGCTTCGTCTACGTTTCAGTGCCGGCAAATATCGCGTAACTTCGTTCATTTGGCTGAAGACAACTGCTTAAATCGAGGGCCCATGGTATTGGATACACTGAATTATTTTTGCCCCTCCGCGACATGCGCGCGTCACAACACAAAGGGCATCGCTCTTACTGCTTCGGGAACGTACAACGCTGGGGAGGGGCTAGTCACGGAGGCGGAGGAGCACTTCGCTGAAGCTTTCGAAATGTTTGCGCCTGTGAGAACAACAACGAGTGAACAGGCACATCCAGTGCAAAATAGTGAAGTTGTGTAGAAGTCGGATTCTATTTGGAGGAAAGCTGGTTTAGTTTACAAGGCAGGGGTAGCTTGACAACGGTCATTTTGATTCCCATTGTAGGACACAAAGATACCCTCGAGGTGGGGAGAGAGTGTTGTTGGAGTGACTGCGGAAACCTTGAAGACTGAACCTCTCGGTTCCATCGGAATAAACTTGAGAGGGAGATTTCTTCGTAGACGTTGGCCGAGTCTACAGGGGTCATCTCTGATGGAGTGCTCGTGAGTGAAAACCTTCCGCGTGACATTTCAACATTGTATGTCCGTGGCTTTATGCTTGTTTCATGATATTTGGTACACCGCGCTTCTCTACCAATCTTGTCGATTTCCACTGTATGGTGATAACTCCGCGAATAGTCTGTAGAACACCGAGATAGCCGACGACCATCTTAGTTGTACTCGTGATCCAGATCAATACCACTGGTGACGAGCCGGGCATTGAGCGGGTAGATTAACATTTCGTGTTTTTGCACTTTGTTCGTCCTTGGTTGCTCGGCTGGTATCGTTCCGTCGACTTCACTTTCGAAAATCTTATCGCACGGGCGCAATGTTGGACGACGTACAGCAACCGTAGAGCCTGGATTCCGCCACATTTAAGCAATCATCTGTTGTATCGACATGCGGTATCAAATTAACTGAACGCTTAATTCCGTCGTTCGGTCGATCTACATTGAAAACATACTACGCAGACCCGAACGATCTTCTAACGGCACCACGCGTGCTATTCACCAACTGAAAAAAAAAACATGTCTAGGCCGGTGACTACTCTCGATGTGGGGAGGTCGTGGTGGGATCGGCTTACGCAAAGCTGTGCTCCGGAGACACGTTGGAGGCCCTGTCCATGTTCAACGAGGTCCGAGACACGGCCATCTCTCACAACGACGACTATCTTTCCCAGGTACAAACACGGCGCGCTTTTTGTTTGTCCTTT